ACCTTCAACTTTTTTATGGTGCTGGTGGCCTGGCTCAATTGCATGGTGGATTGTGTAGAGATGTGGTTGTTGCTGCTGCTGTTGCTGTAGTTGGTGCGATCTGGTCTGTAGAGACGGAGTGTTTGGGGCCGAAGCATTCATCCTGGCGATCGAATTTTTATATGAAGTTATATTATAATCAATTGAAATTCAAGTGAACTTTGCTGTGCGAATGATGTCTGAATGGCAGATTGATTGGTTGATAAGTGATTGAATGTTTGATCGTTTGATTTGAATGATAACCGAAATTATAACCAGATGACGACACTTTTGTTATTATTAGTAACATTACTATTAGACAAAACCAAAATTGAACGAATCTAAAAATAAAAATATGAAAAAGACAGAAAATAAAAAGACGAAGTCCAACTTTTTCATTTGTTCGTTGGAGATGCTAGCAGTAGGCCTATGTTTCTGCTTGGTTTTTGGGTAGATTTTGATATCCAAAACAGGGGTGCCAGTACGAGAACCGTCGTTAGCCACATTAGCAGAGTTGTTGCTGTGGCTGTTGCTGCTGCTGTAGTTGCTGCTGTAGCTTCGGTTGCTCGCTGACTCCGATGAGACCTTGTATGTTTGTTTTGTGTGTGTGCGTGTGTGTACGATGCTGATTTACTGTAAAAAAAAAGCAGAAGGCGGTGTATGTGCTGGTAGGCATATTTTTTGGGACAACAATAATAATAACAACAATAATAATAATAATAGTAATAATAATAGAAGTAACAAAAGAAAACTAACGTTATCATCAAACTTCGCAGGATAAACAACGCTGCTGATGTCGTCGGCGTTCAAGTCATCTGAATGATATGAAATGGTGAACCGTTATTATTATTATTGTTGTTGTTGTTATTGTTGTTGGTGTTGTTGTTGTTATTATTATTATTATTATTATTATTATTATTATATTACATACGTTTGTTGTTTGATAAAAAACATATACTTGCATTAATTACGTGAATAAATTAAAATTTTCCCACTCAAATTATTTTGAATAATTAAAATAAAAAGCAAACAAAACAACAAAAAAACAATAATAATAATAATAAAAAGAAGAAAAAAAATAACATGAATAAAGAGTTTGATTAATTTTTTAACGGAAGTTTTTTCAAAGCATGCAAATTATTAATATTTTTGATTATCTCAACGAACTAACAAACAACCCTAGTAGTAGATAACAGATTAAATTCAATTATTTCCCTAAAATAACAAGAAAATATTGCAGATAGATAGATAGATAGATAGATAGATAGATAGATAGATAGATAGATAGATAGATAGAGAGAAAGAAAATAAATAAAAAGTAAATTTAAATCAAAATAAAATTTTCTTTTAAACGTGCGTAATATTCAAATTTGATGTATTTAGCAGAAGCTTAAGAGAATAAAAAGAGCCTAATATCATCATTGTCATCATCATTATCTCAAGTACCAATCCTATCATTGTAGTAGCGGCTTAAACAGACACAACACAACACAACACCACACACACACATACACAGAGAGAGAGAGAAAGAGAGAGAGAGAGAGAGAGAAAGAGAGAGAGAAAGAGTGAGAGAGAGAGAGAGAGACAGATAAACATACACACACGCATACAGGTGCATGCATAAAAACATTAAAAACTATATAAAAATGAAAAAGTTTGTCCAAGTAGGATAAATAATAACTTAGCATGCAAACAATATTCAATTGCAAAGAATACATGTTAAGAGAATTCAGTTAAAAATAAAATTAACAATGGAAATATGTACATTCTCTCTTAAATCAACTATAATAGTAATAATAATAATAATAATAATAATAATAATAATAATAATAATAATAATAGTAATAATAATATAATTATTGTTATTATGACAATTGTTACACAAATACAGCTCACACCACATCCAACACACTAGGAAATAAAAAAAATCTTCCCACAATATTAAATTCAAGTTACGGGCTGAATAATTCTCTACCCATTGTGAATAAATTAAATATGAAATCCATGCATCTTATATATGTGATTTGGTAGTTTTTTTTTCAGTATTATTAAACTGCACTGAATTAGTAAACTTTCAGATAGTAATAGCGATTTTGGCTGTAGTAGCAGTAATATCGATAGTAAGTGGTAGCAGTGATAATAGCAATCGTAGAAGGGCAGTATTAGTAGTCGTTGTAGCAGCAGCAGTAGCAGCAAGCAGTAGTAGTAAAAGTAATAGCAGCATTAGTAGAAGTAACATTTAAAAATACCATTGTTTGTAGTTATTCCTTAGCAGTAATAACCAAAGTGATGGCCAACAACACAACACTAGTAAAAAGCACATAACGAAATCAAAGAATCGTGTAACATGTCAAACAAATAAAAAATAACAATAAAAATAATAATAATAATAATAAGTGCAACAAAAAACAACACACATATTTAATTACTATATCATGCCCTGAGTGCCTTGCCTACTATTACTAACCGAAGACATGCCTTAAACAAATAAAATTGGGAAAACTAAAAATAGAACGGGAAAAGCCCACGAATAGAATGGGAAAACCCCATAAATAGAATGCGGGGAAAACCCACCAAAGTAACTTCCGCTACCGCCCTCGTAGTAATCATCCACGTCATCGCTGGGGAAGAGCTGACTGGATCGGCTACATAACTCTGAATGCGGTGAGCATTCGAGATTTCGGTGAATAAAAATAAATAAATGAAACATCACTCCTGACGTGTCAAACAAATCAAAGCTGATGTAAAAAATAGTCATGACGTCATAAAATATGGCACACAGCCACGTGACACAACGCAACACACCGCGTCATATTCAGTTACATTATCATCAGTATCATGTCTGTTTTTCTCTCTTACTATGTTAGGCGTGCGTGTGTGTGTGTACATGCGTCTACGTACGTACGTATGTATGTGTGTACATACATATATATATGTTGGTAATAGACCATAATTTTTACAATATTCTATAAATTCTACCGAATGTTTGGCGTTAATATGTTTGTAGTTCGTTTTTTCGATTTTTCTCACCAAAGTTTTTTGGTGAAAGTTTAGTTTATTAAAA